CCCATCCCCTTCCCTGCTTCCCCCCACCCTCTGCCCTGCTCCCCCCATCCCGCTCCCTACTTCCCCCCACCCTCTGCCTTGCTCCCCCCCATCCCCTTCCCTGCTCCCCCCCACCCTCTGCCCTGCTTCCCCTCATCCCATTCCCTGCTTCTCCCCACCCCCTGCCCTGCTTCTCCCCATCCCCTTCCCTGCTTCCCCCCATCCCCTTCCTTGCTTCCCCCCATCCCCTTCCCTGCTTCCCCCCATCCCCTTCCCTGCTTCCCCCCATCCCCTTCCCTGCTTCTCCCCATCCACTTCCCTGCTTCCCCCCATCCCCTTCCCTGCTTCCCCCTACCCTCTGCCCTGCTCCCCCCCATCCCCTTCCCTGCTTCCCCCCATCCCGTTCCCTGCTTCCCCCCATCCCCTTCCCTGTCTCCGTGTATTGTCTCAAACTTATCCAAATATTTTAGTCGATTAGTAATCACAGGAAATATTGTTCAGTGTACTGCCTCACTCTTACTCGCGTGATTTTCGCGTTCCCCACCATTTCAACCCCAAGAGAAGCGCAGTGTGCCCCACCAGTGCTGGGGCGGGAGCAGTGCTCTGTTGCACACTGGGTCGTTCGGCCCTCCCATTTCCTCGGGGACAGCTGTCGCATAGTATCGTGGCGAAGACTGTTTTTCCCACCTCCTGAATTCGGTTTCGCCCCACACACATTTTCGAAATTCACGATTTTCAGATTTTCGCGAACTGTTTCAAGCCCACATAACTTGAAAAATTACCATGCTGACCTCGGGCTTTAATCAACATGACATCAGTTCCCCATAGCAGCTTCCCTGACCCTGACTCAATGTGACACATGTGACTCTGTAAGGTCAGACCTGGCACTTCTGACACATGAGCGAGGCCAAGCCAAGCCAATGAACTTCAACCAATGGAAAAATTATACAGCATGCACTGTTCTATGCCCTTTCATCCTAAAAGATGAGAACAGTGAAGAAAATGGAAGCACTGAGAGAAAAAGAGAAGGCAGGTAAAAGGGGTCATAGGTCATGAGTCATGGTTCATGGGTGGAACACCTGACCTCATAGAACACACTGCTGGAGCATGAAATGTTATATTCAGGGGGAATGGAAGTTCAATGGCTGGTACCGGAGATGGGAGTCAGATGCCATATGGGTATCCGAAATCAGATGCATGATGCATGAAAAGTGACGATGATACCTGCTGTATGAGAAATAAAAAGAGCGACATGTGGCATTTGAAACTAGAACATCAGAGCCTTATGCACGGGAAATGGGATGAGATGCCATGCATGGTGAAGGGGAATAAGATGCCTGATGCATGGATGGAAGATTGGAATGAGATAAGATGCCTGAGGCATGCGATCTGGTGCTTTCTGCTAGGCTCCAGTCTAGGGATGAGCAGGAAAACGAACACAGGCGAACCGAACAGGTTTGTTTTTTTTGCTTCAAGTGTTCACCGAACAGTGATCAAGGTTCGCCCGAACACGTTCGTGTTCGGGCTGCTGCTGCAATTTGCCCCTGGTCGAACACGAACGTGTTCGAGGTTCGCCCAAACACGCCTTCACAGGCGAACGGCGAATACCTGTTTTTGCTCAAAGTGTTCGCCGAACCGAGCACTGTTCGTGTAGGGGCGAACACGAACACGTTCGTGTTTGCCCCTTGCTCATCCCTACTCGAGTCGCAGCCTCAGGAGTGTTCACCAACTCGTGGGCAACTCATCCAACCCGCATGGTGCTCATGGCAGCCAAACCAGAGGGTCACGCGCCATGACTCCATGACACCCCTCTCAGGCCGGCATGACAAACACGCGTCTTAACTCCGTGACACCCCTCCCAGCCTTGCATGATATCCAAGCACCATGGCACCATGACACCCCAATCAAGCTGGCATGATATACAGGCACCATAACACCATGACATCCCTCCCGTCCCAGCATGATACTCCAAGCGCTGTGCAAGCTGCTGCAGATGCCCAAGCACCGTCTGCTGCCAACAAATCATATCAACAGCTCACACCCTTCTCCGACCTCACCATGCCATAGCAAGTGAGCTTTTCTCTGCCCTCACCCGACCTTCCCCTCCACCCACCCACTTGCACTTCCCATTGCCGGGCTCTTGGTGGTGAACTCCCCTCTGCATCCACTTGCTGCTCCACCAGCCAGCCGGCCTAGCTTCTTAAGACATGGGTAGAGGCGCATGAGACCTCATACAACGAAACGTGTAAGCTTCATCGGGAATGGGAATCGAATGGCTGATTCATGGGCAATGGGAATCTGATGCGCAGTGCATGGAAATATGAATGAGACGCGTGATGCATACGGAATGTGAACCAGAAGCTTGGCAAATGGAAAATGGAAAACCAGGTAATCATGCCCTTTGCATGGTAAAAGGGAATCTGATGCTTGATGGTTAAAATACGAATACAGAACCCGATGCACAGGGGAACCGGCCAGGAATCACATGCTTGAGGAATGGGGATCAGACACCTGCAGATGCACAAGCATCGTGTGCTGACAACAAACAAAGCATCTCAACAGCTCATACCCGACATTCATCTGAACCCACCATGCCATAGCAACCGAGCTCTTCTCTGCCCTCACCTGACCTTCTCCCCCACACTCCCCCTCGCACTCCCCATTGGTGACCGCAAGTGATCACCCCTCAGAATCCACTGCTGCTCCACCAACTGGCCGGCCTAGAGTCTCACGGCACGGGGAGAGGATTTTGTGGATACGGGATTCAGATGCTAATGGAGAATGTGGCATTTGACATTGCGGAAGGAAAGAGTAATTCACCATGACATTGCAATGTGTGAGATGGGAGATGGAGATTAGACGTTGATGTCGAATCTGATTCACAGGAAATGAGAAGCTGATTTCGAATGCACGAGAGAGATATGGAAAACTGTTGTCGAATGCACAGGACATGAAAAACTGATGTCGAATGCACAGGAGATGTAAGTTGGATGTCAGATGCAGGGCAGGAATGTTTGAACGGCAAGCAGGAGGATAGGGCTTTCTGGTGCTTTCTGCTAGGCTCGAGCCGCTGCCTCAAGAGCGTTCACCAACTCGTGGGCAACTCATCCAACCGGCATGATGCTCATGGCAGCCAAGCCAGAGGGTCGCGTCCATGGCACCATGACACCCCTCGCAGGCCAGCATGATAATCTAGAGTCATCGCACTGTGACGCCCCTCCCACCCCAGCATGATATCCACGCGACATGACACCATGACACCCCTCCGTCTGACCTCACCATACAATAGCAACAGAGCTGTCCTCTGCCCTCACGTGACCTCCCCCCACCCACCCCCTTGCACTCTCCTCTGGACCCACTCGCTGCTACACCAATTGGCCGGCCTAGAGTCTGAAGACATGGGTAGAGGCGCATGCAACGTGTAAGATTCATCGGGAATAGGAATCAAATCGCCGATTCATGGCCAATGAGAATCAGAAGTGCAGTGCATGGAATTTGATATCAAATACCTGATGCAATGGGAATATGAATGAGACGCGTGAAATGGAAATCAGATGTGTGAATGAGATGCGTGATGCATATGGAATGCAAACCAGAAGCTTGGCGCATGGAACATGGAAACCAGATGCCCTTTGCATAGTAAATGGGAATGCTTGATGGTTAGAACAGGAATTCGGAATCCGACGCATGGGAACTGGGCAGGAATCACATGCTTGATGTCTAGAGAATGGGGAACACACACCTGTTAAATGGGAAATGGGGATCCCATACATGATGCATGGAATCAGATGCCTGATGCATGGAAAATGGAGATTAGCTACTGCATGCCTGCATGAATGCAATGTGGGAATCAGTTGCTTGATGCACGGACAACAATAATGAGGGAAAAACAGGATGGTTGTTTCATGGGAGATCAGAATCAGATGCCTGATGGAGGGGATATGTGAGTCCGTTAGATACATATGCATTAGAAACGAGAATCAAACGATAAGCCTGGCCTGCATAGGACAGGGAAGCGGATCCCGCTTCCTAGAGCACTAGGAAGCGGGATTCAGATGCTCAACGAATGGGGTTTTGGAGATCAGATGCTTGATGGATGGGAGTTAAAGGTCAGATGTCTTTTGCATGCATGAGAAGTAGGAATTAGATGAGTTATTAATGGAAAATGTGAATGAGATGCGTGATGCATGAGAGATGGGATGGGACTGAGATGCCCGAAGCATGGGAATTAGGACTGAGATGCCTGATACACGGAAATGAGACTGAGATCCCTGATGCATGGAAAATGAGACTGAGATGCCTGATTCACGGAAATGAGGCTGAGATGCCTGATGCATGGAAATGGAAATGAGGTGCTTGATGAATGTTGCATGCATGGGATTGTGTGATCCACAGGAAACGAAACCAGATGTATGATTAACAGGACACGAACATCAGATGCTTGATGTTAGGAAAATGGGAATCAGGCACCTTGTGCATGGGAAATGGAAAGAACATGCTTGATGCATGCATGGGGAATGAAGGCAACAGATGCTTGCTACAAGGGACGTGGGAAGGCGACAAAGGTAAGCATGAAAATGGGATTTGTATGACAGATGGATAGGATCGCAAATTAAATTCCTCATACACAAGATATTGGAATCACATAGCTGATCCATCCATAGCCCATAGGAAATTCGAACTCCAGCATGAAAGATGGGAACCAGGTCCCTGATGCATGGGAAGTGGGAACCATATGCCATACTAATGAAAATCAAAAGGGTTGAAATCAGATGAGTTACCCATGGGAATTAGGACTGAGATGCCTGCTGCATGGGAAATGGGACTGAGATGCCTGCTGCATGGAAAATGGGAATGAGATTCCTGATACATGGGAAATGGGGCTGAGATGCCTTATGCATGGGAAACGCGGATGCATGCCTGATGCATGGGAAATAGGACTGATGCATGGAAAACATTGCATGTCCCTGCTGCAGGGAACATGGGAACCATATGCCTTATCTATGAAAATGAGGGAAATCCTATCCCTCCTGCAGGGAACATGGGCATTAGATGAGTGATAGTGGGAAGTGTGAAAATGGGATTGGAAAGTGGGAAAGGTAAGATGCAAGGAAAATGGTGTCCTCAGCACTCTGCAGTGAAAGGCACAAGAAGCGTGCGAGTCTCCAAGCGCAACACTCAAGAAAGTAACGCAAAATATGCATGTGACTTAATGAACTTTCATCCAGAAACTCAGAAAGTGACTCAATGCATGTGGATGTGAATCACGCATATTCAATGACTTCAGATTACATACCTATGGAGAAATTATTCATACAGCAGCAAGTAGGCAATGTAAGAAACCCAAATTTCGGTTTTTTTATCTACACTATACATGAAACATGAATATGTACACAATGGTGCAACAAGGGAGTGAGCAAATATCTATTTCCACCAAAGAATCTGGGATACTTGTTTCAATAAGGCTGCTTGAGCAGACTGACTTATTTACCCACTTGTTCTCCTTGTTCTTCCGTGCGACCCCTTCTGCACTGTTTGCCTCAGAGGCGCCACACGAGCAGCACTGGCACTGGCCATGGCAGGAGCTGCAGTTGCTTTCAATGCAGGCTTGGGAGCTGCAACCTTGACTGCAGGCTTGGGAGCTGCAGCCTTGACAGCAGGCTTGGGAGCTGCAACCTTGACTGCAGGCTTGGGAGCTGCCCCCTTGACTGCGGGCTTGGGAGCTGCAGCCTTGACTGCAGGCTTGGGAGCTGCAGCCTTGGCTGCAGGCTTGGGAGCTGCAGCCTTGACTGCAGGCTTGGGAGCTGCAGCCTTGACTGCAGGCTTGGGAGCTGCAGCCTTGGCTGCAGGCTTGAGAGCTGCAGCCTTGACTGCAGGCTTGAGAGCTGCAGCCTTGACTGCAGGCTTGGGAGCTGCAGCCTTGACTGCAGGCTTGGGAGCTGCAGCCTTGACTGCAGGCTTGGGAGTTGCAGCCTTTGCTGCTGGCTTGGAAGCTGCAGCCTTTGCTGCTGGCTTGGAAGCTGCAGCCTTTGCTGCTGGCTTGGAAGCTGCAACCTTTGCTGCTGGCCTGGAAGCTGCAACTTTGACTGCCGGCTTTGAAGGTGCTGCCGATGATGCAGCGATAGTAGCAGCAGCATTGACAGCAGCAGCACTCACAGCGTCAGCAGCAGCAACCACAGCATCAGCAGCAGCACCCACAGCAGAAGCAACAGCACCCATAGCTGCAGCAGCAGCCCGGACCACAGCAGGTCTCAACCGTGAAAAGCCTAAAGGAGCACGACATTCCCGCTTGCTGGTCACTTCAGCAAACCTGCCAACCCTGTACGCCACAGCAGCTGCTGTCATAGGCTTCAGCTTTGACGACAGCAGCAGCCTGTCACCCTCACTCGGTGCTGAGAAGCACCTGGGAGTCGTGTCTCTCAGATACGCTTCATCAGCGTCTGTCCACTCGGTGATGAACTCAGAGGGGTCCGCCTGTGAATTTTCTGTCAGCCATTCGCAGTCACTCTCACTGTCACCAAGGCTGAGAACACCAGTTCTCAGGTACGCCTCATCCTCTGGCGTCCATTCAGTGGTTATAAACTCACGAGGGTCCACCAGATCGTAATCCGCCAGCAGCAGCAGCGGCAGAAGCTCATCTTCGTCATTTTGAGTTGAGCTGCTCTTGACAGAGCAGCTTCTCAACTCGATTTCATCAGCATCCGTCCACTCCGTCAGCCATTCAAACGGAGTGGAACTTGCTGGCGAGCAGGCGAGCCAGCTCGGAACGTCCCAGAAGTATTGTGCAGCGTCGCCAAAGCAAGCGGCAGCAGCAACAGCTAGAGCGAGAGCCGATTCAGGGTGGATAAGGGCCATTCGATTTAAGGAGTGTAAGCTGGAACGATCTAGCAAGAGTTCCGACAACAAAATCCAGCAAGAGGTTCTAGCAGTAGGTGGATAGATCAAACGGGATGTGACTCAAATAAAGCTCGAACAATCGAATTGTGATTGAAGAGGAATACTCATTGCCTTGGTCACTTGTACTCACAGCCAAGCCAGGCAAGTGCCCGTTGCCTCCCTACCTCCCGTAGGCCGCACAACCAGGCAGCGCGGTTCGGAATGGGTTTGGTGTGGCTCTAGCTTCGGGATCCCGCCAATGTGGGAGCCTTCTTAGGCTCGATCCCCGGCTGTCGGAGCCCCACGCTCCCTCCGAAATGTTAGCAATGGTTGCCAGCGCGCTATAATTGATCAGCTCGGTCGACAGCCATTGGATCTTCACGACCCAATCTAAGACTTCAACAACGGTTAAGATAAATCGGCCAAGACATCTCCATGCCAGCGCATTCACGTGGATGACGAGAAATGAGCTGGCGGGGAAGGAAAAGGAGCGGTTGGAATGCAAACGAAAAGCTGGAAACGCTCTACGGTTTCCGGAACCGTCAACGGCACCGACATTACAGCGCATGCAATGATTGCAGCGACAATATTGACCTGAACCGCATATAGCGCACCTCCAACGTGGATCCACTCGTGCCGCGTCACGTGCCAGATGAGCGGCGGTGCTTTCCTAAGACAAGGGAAGGTGAGGGTGGCTGACGAAAGGGACCAAGAGCCATGTTATTCATGTGACGTCTGGGCGCCCTACATACCCCAGCAGTAAATCTACACCGTTTAGTGTTCGGTCAGTGAGGGCGGCTGTCTTAGTGAGATAGGGATAGGGATGGCGAGATGTGAGATCCAGCTGGTGCACGAAACCCTAGGTGCCATGCCCCTAGGTTTCGAATGAGAATATCAGGTTTTCAGAGAATTTATGCACCTTCATTTCACAAGTACTCTTGTCAAATAAGCATTTTCTGATCTCTGTTGTGTAAATTGTGAAGCATGAGTTCTAAAACATACAACATCAATAGCACATGTTTTATTTACAATAACGTGCAGACATTGCAAGGCTGGTCAAAACTTCAATAGCTCAACACACTTGTCCACACCACACACAATGTTCAGCTGCGGCAAGCCATAAGACTTGTTGGCTCCCCTCCCCCATGAGTGCGACAGTGAGACTGGAAGATATGGGCCAGTTTCTAAGTACAAGTGCATCGTTGCCAAAACAGCAGACTGCTTGACGTCATACTTTGAAATGGCATGAGTTCCCCTTATCAGCTTCCCTGACCCTGACTCAATGTCACAAATGTGAATCTGTAAGGTCAATCCTGGCACGTCTTTCTGCATGGGTGAGTGAGGTCAAGACAATGAACTTCAACCAATGGAAGCCTTATACAACGTGCGCTGCTCTGTGCACTTTCATCCCAGAAAATGAGAAGAGTGAAAAGAATGGAAGTACTGAGAGAAAAAAAGAAAGCAGGTAAAAGGGGGCATAGGTCATGGGTCACGGGCGGAGCATCTGACCTTGTAGAACACACTGCTGGAGCATGCGATGTAATAATCAGGGGGAATGGAAGTTCAATGGTTGGTTCATGGGAGATGGGAGTCAGACGCCATATTGGTATCCAAAATCAGATGCATGATGCATGAGAAGCGGCGATGATGCCTGATGTATGAGAAATAAGATGAGCAACATGTGGCATTTGAACCGAAAACGTCAGAGCCTGATGCATGGGAAGTTGGAATTGACTTTGTAGTGCAAGGAAACTGGGAACACAGTGAATGAAAATCTGATATCAAATGCACAGGAAATGAAAAACTGATGTCAGATGCACAGGATCATGATTGCATTGCTGAATATACCAATGCACGGGAAACTTTCAGCTTGAACGTCGCGATGAAAATCTGTTGTCGAATGCACAAGACATGAAGAATTGATGTCGGATGCACCGGAACTGTAATTTAGATGTCAGATGTACGGCGCGAATGTTTCAACGACAAGCAGGAGGAAAGAGCGATCGGGTGCTTTCTGCTAACCTCAAGAGTGCTCACCAACTCGTTGGCAACTCGTCCAACCCGCATGGTGCTCCTGGCAGCCAAGCCAGAGGGCGCCATGACTCCATGAGACCCCTCTCAGGCTGGCGTGATAATCGAGCGTCGTAACACCGTGACATCCCTCCCAGCCAGCAAGATATCCAAGCGCCATGACACCATGCCATCCCTCCCAGCTCAGCATGATACTCAAGCATCTTGACACCATGCCACCAGGAAGCCATAACACTGTGACATCCCTTCCAGCCCAGCATGCTATTCAAGGCGCTGTGCCAACTGCTGCAAATGTCCAAGAATTGCGTGCTGACAACAAAACATCTCAACAAGCGTCATAACACTGTGACACCCCTCCTATCCCAGCCCAACATGATATCCACGCGCCATGACACCATACCATCCCTCCCATCCAACTTGATACTCGAAGCGCTGTACAAGCTGCTGCAGATGCAGGAGCACCGCATGCTGACGACAAATATAGCATCTCAACCGCTCAAACCCGGCATTCATCCGACCACACCATGCCATAGCAACCGAGCTCTTCTCTGCCCGCAGCTGACTTCTCCCCCACACCCCCCATCGCACTCCCCAATGGCGACCAGATGCCTGTGGAGAGAGCACTAGAGCACTAGATGATTTATGCGAGATGGGAATCAGAAGCGCAGTGGATGGGAAATGAAAATCACGCATTCATGATATAAGAGAATCAGATGCTTATTTCATGGGAACTTGCATGGAAATCGCATGCTTGACGCACAGGGCATACGAATAAGATGGGAGAAGATACCATGACACCCTCCCAGCCCAGCATGAGATTCAAGCGTTGAGCAGGGTGCTACAGATGCCTAAGCACTGCCTGCTGACAAGAAAACATCTCAATAGCTCATACCTAACATCCATCTGCCCTCACCATGTCAACCCAGCTTTGAGCTTTCTCTGCTTTGAGCTTTCCCTGCTTTGAGCTTTCCCTGCTTTGAGCTTTCCCAGCTTTGAGCGTCCACTCTTCTACCCGACCTCACATGACCGTCTCCTCCGCATCCCCCCTCACCCTCCCCATTGCTAACTCGCCGGTCGACTCCCTCCCGTCTCAAGCCACTTGCTGCACCACCATCGGGGTCATAGGTGGAGGTGGCATCTGGGGCAGGGCTGCCTGGCCTGTTCGCACCAGGAGGCCTGTGACCATGCCCTTGCCATTTCTCTCCCCATCGTGGCTCCTGTGGTGCTTCTCCCATTGGGTCTGACCCAGCAGGTCAAATCGGAGCACCGGTGCCTCTCACCCACGCTGTGCATCCCCTTCACTCCTAGAAATGTTGAGTCTATGGGTCATGGGTCATCATGGGTCATGGCGCTATGGGACATGGGTAAAGGAGCATCTGACCTCACACGGTAGAATGGGTAAGATTTACAGAGAATGAGAACTGAATTGACAATTCATGGGAGATCGATGAGAAGCGCAGTGCATGGGAAACGGAAATCAAATGCCTGGTGTACTGAATGCATGAATGATATGCCTGATGCATTGGGAACGGGAGGCGCCTGATGCATGAGAGATGTAAAAAGATGCCTTTGCATTGGTAATTGGAATTTACAACCTTGATAGATAGGCTTTCGGGATCCCTCATGCATGGGAAACGGGATATAACATGCTTCATGTCGAGGGAATGGGAATCACACACCTGTTACTTTGGGGATGGGAATCCATTACCTCATGAGTGAAAACGGGTACTTGATGCGTGGAAAACAAGAATCACATCCATGCATGAGATACGGGAATCAGATGCCTTTCGCAATGATAATGGAAATAAGATACTTGAGGCATGGGAAAACAGAAATGAGAGGGATTCTCTATTGGATATGAAAATCACATGCATGATGGAGGACAAATGGGAATCAGTCAGACGCCCTATGCATGGAACATGGAAACTACATGCTGGATGCATCAAAAATGAGAGTCAGATGTTTACTGCATGGGAAATGGGAAGCAGATGCCTGATGCATGCGGAGAACATATTAGAGGACTAAGCATTGGAAACGGGATCTACATGCTTTTTGAATCAGATGCCTGATGCATGAGAAATGGGAATCGCATGCTTGATGCACCGGCAGTACGAATTAGATGAGAGAACAAAGTCAGGTGTGGATGCAGGTGTGGGAATTTCAGATGCAAAATGCATGGGGACAGGAGATCAAATCCCTGATGCACGGAAACCGGTAACATGATACCCGATGCGCAACGGATTTGAGAATCAGGTGCCTGGTGTATGGGAAACGATATTGAGGCGCCTAAGCATAAGAAATGGGATTCATTTGCTAGTTGGATGGAACTTGAGAAACAGATGCGTTATGCACAGAGCATGGGGATCACATGTTTGGTGTGCTTAGGAACTGGGAACATATCTGATATTTGACGCCAAGGGAAATGTGACATGCCTGATGCAAGAGAAACGGGTATGAAACGCACGAATGGGAATGGGAGTCACATGCGTGATGCAAGAGAATCGGGTATGAAACGCACAAATGGGGAATGGGTGGGAGTCACATGCGTGATGCAAGAGAATCGGGTATGAAACGCATGAATGGGGAATGGGAGTCACATGCGTGATGCAGGGGACGTACCAATTGCCTGATCCACTGAATTATCAGGAATGTCCTATAAGGGGGACTGTGGGAACCAGATACCTGATGCATGGGAAGATGAGATCCAAATGCCTCATGTATGAGGCATGGAAATAGGCACCTGTTGCTACGATGGTCATCACAGCATCCCTCTGCACACTCTTGTTCAGACACATCCCTCTCTCACACACACACCCTTCACGTCACACCACCCTCACATAGCACTTGTCTATGCAATAGATTTTCATCAGTGTAAGCAATTATTAACATCTCAGACATGAATTTTCCTCAGTGTATGTAGTACCGACAGTAACGCGTCATAGCCAAAG